AAAAAAAAAAAAAAAAGTAACACATTTTGAAAACTTTCAAGTCAAATGTGGTAACAGTATTTATTTTAAGTGATTGTTTTTCAACTTAATGTAAAATTTACAGTTCATGTATTTTTTTTTTATTCCTGTTCTAACTGCAGATTTTTTTTCTCTGATGTTCTTCATGAAAGCTAAGAACCCTTTTTGGGATGTGAAATACCGAAAAGACACATTAACATACGACAATGATTAGATGTGTTTAATATGAGTTTATTGTAGTTAATCCGGCAATGACAGTGGAAACAACACATTCATAGAAAGGATGTTCAAAGTTACTGATTTAAACGACAACTTTGAATTTTGATTATAAACTAAACATGTCGTCAACTACTTTTTTTTGAAAATATAAAAGTACTTACCATGTTAGGATCAGCTCCTTTCTCTAACAATAACTTCACTATATCAGATTCCCCATGTCGTACTGCTTCTGACAAGACATCAAACTGCAACAGCATATCGTAGGAAAATCATATTAATCATATTAAAACAAATAACCGATGGGACATAAGGTCAAACTCAATTCATAGAAAGGTTGTCGCATGTGACTTATAATAAGGATTTTTAATGGAAAATAAGTCCCTCGTCACCTCTCATTTAACAACAGATACCCGGAAATCTGTCTATTAAAAGGGTCTCTGTGACACATGTACATGTTATTGTGCCGATATACCTATGAATTAAAAACTAACACCGAAATAAAACAAAACATGAGAGAAGTATACATTTTTGCAATTGTCGACGTGATCAATAGATTATTTGTTTTCTAAAGAACACATACCGTCGATAAATGTTAGATGCAAATTGATAACTATGCAAGGTTTTTGTAACCAGTCCTAATATACTCTCTTTTACAATAAGCTTCACATAAAAAGAAAAATTGAAAAAAGTCGACCGGAAGATTTACATAATTTGAATCCATACTAATACTTTACTTTGCTAGAAAATATCAACAACAAATTCTACCAAGACACATAACGTTCCAAATTACATCACAACCATGCACTCATATAATCATCTGTCTTTGTAAGAGTAGAACAATTTCATTGTTCTGGAGGCGTTCTTTGAGTTTTTAATGATGTTTGGTTGTGTCAAGACTGAACAAATCGAAACTCTGACAATATATGTATAATTTATTAATTCAATTTACTCTCCTGGTGGTGTACACATTGCTGCAGTACGACGTAAACCCTGCGAAACGATTACTTTGTGTAAATGTATATCACAACGGTATGACTACACAAATATATAAAACATAAGAAACTTTTTCCCGACAGCTACCTATCTCAGCAGATTAAATTCATGTTTACATTATTATAATGCATTCGCAATTCGAATCAAGAAAGGAAAATAATATTTGTATAAGTTGTTAAAATTTGTTGTGCAATTCAAAATGAAATATCGTTATATAGCCGTTATATATGTCTATTTATTTACTTCGCTAGGGTCGGCATGTCTGTCATAGTGATTTGAGTGCGACATAGTGAGATGAAATTAACTGTAACTAACGTAATCAGTACCAAGTTCAATGTAAGTATGAATATATCAAATCATATCGACACCGATAAACAATTGCCATCTTTTGCTGTTTTTTTTGTTTTAAAATATCTGGAGGTTTGGTTCAGAAGCACAATGTGACTACATCAATGTCTACATGAAAACATTTAATAAACAATTAACAATTACGTATACATTTGCGTACATGCATAAAACAGGAAGAACTTCATTTTCAACATGTATGATTAAATTAAAGCATCATGTATTTTTCATATTGATAACCAGGGAAATGGGCTTGCTCAAAATAAACCTCCTTTACTTTCACTTTTCTTTGAGTCCCTATTGTATAACTACTTGCGTGTCTATGTGGCCGATGAGTTGCATGTATCTA